AAATGATGAGCTAGTTAGTTGGTTAGTTCGTTTGTTGGTAGGTTACTAAACCACATCATATAATCATTGCTATTCTCTAGTGGGAATTTTCCGAATATCAAACCATAAATGACTTCGTAAACATGTCCAGTAATACAACACTATCAAATAAATCAATATTGATTTTATTGATACATAGTTTGTACATGTTTGGTAATTAGTTGAGAATGAAATGAATAAATGATTGTTTCACAAGTAAACTTCATCATTTGTTGTCTGCATCCTTAACATTACTTCATGTATTTAAGGATGTATGATAATTAGAAGTATTTGAATTATAGTATGAACTAAGAATCCCAGAGATAACGCAATTGAATCAAGAAGTACTACACAAATACTAACAAATGTACTTTATTTAGAATTCGAAATCAAACATTCAACATGTACAAAGGGGTCATTAGTTCATTCAAACACCACAGGATGTTAGATAGTTTGCTTGATATTAGATAGGATATTGTAGTGTTTTGGATTCTATCAACGAGTTGCAGTCAACAGAGAGATCAAGTCGGATAAATCACGAATTTCTACACCAAAACTGATCTAAGTGACGATAGGAGAAGACTCATCAAAGCCTATTAGATAGTAATTCTGGACAAAGTATTTAAACTGCTGATGAGTGTGTTTTATGTTATATTTGTAAATGTCACAAAATATCTTGAATCATTGTTGTGATTACTTGGTGAATCACTTGAAGAATCGGAAGGTTATGAAGTCATATGATTCGTTAGTTAGTAGTGCATATAAATGAAGGGAACTAGTAACGTGTATGGATTGGGAAGAAATGAATCAAATAATTCAACATACATTCATGAATAGTACAATGGCTAGACAGCGATTATTAGGTTAAATGAATACAGCTGATCAGTGGTTTTGAGTTGGTTCTTTTACTGGTATGAAATGCTATCGACTTTCTTTAACGAGATAGTTGATATCCAAAGTGTGATATAAACAGTAATACCTATTCCACATCAATGTACATGTTTCATTGTTGGTGAACGTGATGGATATCAGTTAATTTAGTTTGATTGCTGTTTGATTTCTGAGTAGTGCCAAATAACATGAAATATAGGTGCAAGATTTGCTATCAACTATCTCGAACCCAGTCAGTCAGTCAGCAACAATGTAGACCTTCGTGCGTACGTACATCAGTTCGAGTTGCGATACCACATTAGCAAACAGATAAATTGTCGATTTAAATCACATAGTGGTAGAGGTAGTAAAATTATAAGCAGTGATCGGAAACATTAGGGTTTGAAGATGTTATTCAAGGATTATAATACAGTGAAATAAATTTGGAAAGAGAAAAAAAGTGACACGAAGAATTTAAAAAATTAGAATTTGGGATAACACAAATGGTTGATGCACCTGCGTCATTGCAAACAATTTTGAACTATACCATTCAAGGTTTCTAACCATCGGTTGCTATCGTTTCGCGGACCCCAACCAGGTAGTATACACCTACCAACCAACATGACTCAGTCCACTTGTCAGTAACTTCATGGATTTGTGCAATGTTTTGGTCTGGCAGCCCCTAGCTTTCCTTCAGCCTACTCCTACATTATAAGACATCGCACGTTGAGTCAGACGGTGGTTGGGCATATGTAACACATGTCCGAGCCATCTGTAATATATTTCCAACCATATGTCAATGAGAATTTCAGACGACTACTATTAATTGTGAATTCCCAACGTGAGTCAGTTGTAAATTCATGGTTAGTTTGGTGGTGTATGCTACTTATGTTGATAGATATAATTAGTATGTAACACCAATCTGAAGTAGAATACCTGGCAGAAGTTTGACAAGATCGTATTGAAGAGAACATGAATGTAAACAGAGAGTAATTCTGTTAACAACAGGAATAAAAGAACGACGAAGTATGTAAGAGACAGTTGATGGAAGATATGCAAATGAAGTATTTAATGGATGTTGTTTATAGTATACTAAGGCACACTGTAATTTTGTATGTAACAATAAATTGGTCTTCTTCTCGTTCACCACAGTATTAAGATTGAAACTTTAGGAAAATTGTTTAGTTTAAAGATTTTTCACATCATCTATTAATTTCTCTATTAATTTGATCATTGTGTTTATCATTTTTCTTCATTGTTGAATTCATTCCTATACTAAGCAACTTGGAACCAGATATGAAAAGGATGAATAGCAATTGGTAAGAACTGGAAAGTACTGCCCAGGACAGTGTTTGATGGAGAGTGCTGGTGGATGGCGTTTACTGTTCCATGAGGGATAACAGGTGTAAGTAGGTAAGTAAGTATGGTAGCTGGCTAATTATCAAGTGATATTAACTATTTGTTATATGTTCACTGAAGGTTATTGCTAAAACATAATTACCATGAATACCAACACCCAAGATATTACAACACAGAACAACTGCTAAGCTGCACAATGAATACCGCTTCGAATTTTACATTGACATAGTTTCATTCTCTATAATATTCATTAATATACACAACTATTTTATACTTTGTAGACGTCATAAATCAACTTATAATCTCATTAAACACCTATACTACTATCAACTTTAAATGGTACATTGACTGACCTATAATATTTTTATTCATAGGATCATGTGTATTTAAATTCATTCAGAAAAGTACAAGTCTCATTAAAATTGAACAAATTGTTTCAGCTAAACAAAATAGTAACCAACCAATTGTCTGGCCAATCTGATGCGAATTAATACTACTAACAATAATAAATAACATAGTGAATTGGTTCAAGTTAGACATTAACACCGTTGTATACCACCTCAATGGTCTGTAGGTTAAGTGAGGTTCGCACACTAGCTTGAAGGTCCTGGATTTGAATCCCGCGTGCGGAGTTATAGATGAGCTCTACTGAGGAACGTTATTTGGCATAAGTTTGGACAGCAGATGATGAACAGCTGTGCATGGGCCAGTCAAAGGAGAAGAAGAATTAACTGTTTTATATGAGCACATCTCAAATTTATTAGATATCAAACTGCATAAATACTTTGAATGCATCTGATTTTAATGATGCAAGCAATAGAAAACAATTAACAGTAACACATTTAAGACCAATACAAAATCAAATTTTGGAGTTCATTTGGTAAGATTTTGGATTGATCACAATGTTTGATTGTCACAATTTTATTGGATTGTTGAACAAGGCTGAAATTGAGCGGAACGTTTGATGTTCCGCGTAACGGTCGTAGGCTGGAATATACCCAGCGTACTTATGGGTTTCTGCGGGTGAGATTTTGTGCCACTATTTACTTTAGTTTTTTTGAAGAGTGTCTTAGATTCTTTCGGTGTCCTGTTTTTCATTCCCTGTTAATGACATTTGCATTTTGATAAATAGCTTTTTTTGATATCCTGTCCATAAATGACTTGGTATTTCCTTACTCCGTTTCACTATGCTTCAGTTTTCTAGTTATAAGTAAATAACATTGCTAGAAAACCAGTTCGCGGACCATTATTCATGCTTCCGGCCAGAATACAGTGCGATGGTACCTTCATTTATTGTGTGCAAGTCATATTTCGCAAACTAAACTCAAGTTTATGAATCGAATTTGGGGTCAGCTATTCCTGTTAGTTGATTGTTTAGATTTATTCATGAAACATTCCTACATTCACATTAATTTAGAATGCCTAGTGAAAAGCATATTTTTATACATCGACTTGACGAGGAAATGTTGCACCATTTCCCTAAGGCATGCAAAAGAGTAAACTTTATACGCATTTCTTTTTTATTTTCTTAAAAATTGTGCCCTATGTTTCACATGTGTTTTGCTTTATCTCCCTTCTATTGTTTTGTATGATCAAGTCAAGTTTAGGATATACTGACTGCATACTTAGTTTGCATTTAGTTTTGCAATTTATTTGCTGCAAGATCTATAAATAATGCGAGTGGTCTTCCGAATTTCAACTTAAATCTCAGGCTATCAATAGTTGTTAAGTGCAGTTGGTTCCACTTTTCGCTGCTTTTAGATGCACAGAATAAAAGTTGGTTGAGGTGACAGATCTGAGTGTCGATGGAATAATAATTCTATAATTCACACCTGTAAATTATTTAGGGCACGGTGACAATTGCTCCGTCGTTTTGTAGAATTCAGGAAATCTATGCTTGTATTCTACTTTCGAACATCTCCCAGAATGGTTGAAAGTGAATTAAGTTTTCACATGATTAATGGATGTTTACATATTGGGTTGTTAGTTATCGTAAGTTGAAAGTGGTTAAGGTTAGGAATAGGAGGACTAGATAACGTCACTAATTACTATTCAGTTGTCAATTACTTTAGAGTTGGTTAGTAATTCTGTCACTAGGTGTCTGTTTTCTTTGTTTCGAGTTTGGTATCCTTAGACTTGAAGGGCTGTTTGGTGTAATGTAAATATATTTCGGTGATGCAAGTACTTGCATTCATACTTTTCCTACTTAACAAATCACTGCTCACTTTTTCATACTGTTTGGAATGTACGATCCCCAAATGCAATTTATAAAGAAGGGAATTAGTTATTTCAAAGAGGATTTAAGGTGAAGAGTCAACCTTCAACGTGTTTTTATCATATTACTTTGTGAAATTTAAATTCATTTTCATGGTGACTTGTTTAGTAACAGTTGCTAAGTTCATTAAATGTAATCGTTTCAACCCATCGATTGAAACTTATTTTTAGTCCTACTAGGTCATCATCAACTAAGCCTCCATTTCGAAACCGAACTTTTCACTGTTTGGTGGGTCTGGCGAGAAAGGAGTGGATGTAATCTCGTTCACTGTACCAAATCCACAGTTGCGAAATATTAGTTTATTGCACAAATTTAGTAAAAACTTTTCATTCATTTTGACATTTTACTCTGCAAGTGTTACTGAAAATTACTGTAGTTTCACTGACACACCTTTCCATTTGTGTCATGTTCTTGTGGTCAATCACGTGAATAATGTTTCCTTTTTTATAGTGGAAGGTTACTAGTAAATTTGATTTGAATGAAAAGAAAGCATACAGAAAACTCTACTTACGTGTCAGCACCAGTAATGCCAACAAGTGTACAAGAAGATCTTAGTGATGTGAGCGATGATTTTGAAGATACATACAATACAGAAGTAGCTAACATTCAGACTCAGTTAGACCAATTAGATAAAAAAACTCATCCAGGTAATTGAAATATTCTTTTTGTGTATAACTGGGATATAATCGATAGAATTTGTGAAAATTCGTGAAGAAATAGAAACTTGGTATTCGGAACAAAAACAACGTATTCAAATTCTACATGAACACAAAGTAAGCATAAAAGATTTTATTTTGCTGCTTCAACAACATTTATAAGTTATGGCACACATTATAGATAAAAAAGTTTGCTTCAAGCTAACAGAGTTGGTTGCCATTTTTTGTTGTGTATCAATAGACTGGTTAGGAGGTTTAGTTGGAATCAGCCGAATTAATTATACCAACAACTAAATAACCATCTCTTGTGTAGGGAGTTATTCATTGCTAGGGGAACAGTTTACATCTACGTTTAAGCAAAAGTTGTTTATATGGTTATTTGGGAGTTATTGGTCGGTGGCTTAGTAGTTAAGTTGCTAGACTATTCGTGATGAAGTTATGGATTCAAATTTCACGTTATCTGCTTTAGTCTAAACATCCAGATTGTATCTCTTGCTGTTACACAGGTTAAGACTTTAGTGTTTTACGCTAATCACAATTTATCTCTGATCAGCGTCAGCTCTTAATGACCATCTTTAATGAGATAGCTGTTGTTTCCACTGAAACTCGTGAGTTAACTTCGGCTAATCACAAGGCGATATTAGTTTTTGGTGGGAGTTTAGAGACATGTCATGTTTGTTTAAGCAATTAATGCTTATCACTCCTAAATAAGCTTATAATGCAGAACGATAGATGGTCACCAGAATGTGCACATGTTATGATCTCTCGTATTACGACCCATCTCTTGTTGCTTAGTATTCTCCGGTCACTACTTCACTCGACAAGTCTTGAAATGAAAACACGGTTGAACAGTAACGTAATTATATTCCAAATACACAAGCTTGAATGAAAATAGGAATCACAACAAGGAAAAAATTAGTATATTTATAATTTTACACAAAAAGATAAAGCCTCTTCCAGTTATCCACCGGCACTGATTAGCTAAAAAGTGGCCAGTCAGCGTGCCCCAACGTATTCCTGCACGAAAACATGCATTAATCCAATCTGTATCCCACTAACAACACCATTGGAAGTCTTCTCTAATATACAAAACTTTTAACTCTAAAGAATTAAATGATAACTTTTTTAAAGACTGGTTCGGGGAGTGGCTCTTCAAGGAAATCACGTTCAGTCTAAACAACCGAGCAGTATCCAAGCCCACTCAGAAATCCAATGATATATGTGCTGCATATATATTTTGGTGCCCATTCGCACCAATATTTGTTCAAATAATTAAATAAACAAAGTTAACTAATTCAACACAGCCAGAATGATGCATTAATTTCATTACCGAGAGTGTTGTTTGCAATAAACTAATTCCACGTAAGAGAGAAATTGTTCAATAAATTACTAGTTAAGCATAAGTAACATAGTTATTATACGCTAACACCACACAAATTAAGAGGCATAGTTGGAGTTCAGTGGATTTTGATCCAATGATCTAAAAGTATTATACCTAAAGGCTCTTGGTTCAATTCCGCATGCATCAAAAATGTGCATTTTTTGACCAGTTTGAAAAGCGTGATGAAGCAACAAATATGGTAACTTTTAGTTTTTCAATTGGTGAAGATTATATAATATTATATCACTGCATTTAACGGATAAAATTAAGGCCAGATAGTTTTCTTGTTGTTGATCATATCACATTTTTTCACCTTATTTTACTTCCTTTAAATAATAACTTTATTAACAGTTAGATACTATTTATCGTGAGTATACAAAAGAAGCTGAAGCATGTGATCGAGATTGTGAGGTAGGTCATCTTCATTTGAACTGAATGGATCCTTTTTATATGTGTCTTCTTTTCGCCTCCTTATTTCTCTCTCCCTCTCCATAAACAATCTCAGCATGAGAAACGACGAATTCAAGCTTATTTAGTATCATTATGTGAAGAATTGAAACGACGTTTGGAACATGATAAGAAAAGCATTGAATTGACTCCAAGTGGAGGTTAGTTGGTCGTGTTCAGACAGCTTTTTTTTATTTTTCGCCGGATTACATAATTCCTTAATGGTGTCTGTTTTTATTCTGCTATGGATCTTGATCGGATGGTATATTGTCTTATAGTAATAATGATAATAATAATAATAATAATAATAATAGTTGAGAGGAAAATGTAAACGTAATTGCTTGATTAGTCTTATGTGTTAATAATATGTGTTTTATTTGCATCACCTGAAATCGTGAAGCAACGGAGTTAAGAATGATGAAGTTAAGCATAATGTTATGAACATAAATAGTAAATTAGTCGATGAGGTTTTGGATTTTAATCCAAAAAGGTGTTTTAGACATGTATTGTTTATGCTCAAAGTGGTATGTTGGATACTTACTTGTAAAGCTTGCAACCTGGTTCTGAGAGCTATTTTTAATTCGTTGAGCTTTATCAGTATCAGTATCTCGAAGGAAGACTGTATTAAACCTTTGTAATGCTGTTTGTCCATTCCTTATTTAGCTTCAGTTTCATCTGGGAAACTACCAGGTGGTGATATGAAGCTGTCGGGTCCTCTCTTTGCTCTCACGTTTTCCATTTACTTTCTGAATTGCTTAGTGATGCAAACATGATCAATCTGGTTCTCTATAGTGTGACCCAGTGAAAACCATATAGCTCTGTGTATACATTTGCGGGTGAATATAGTGCAATTTATAACTATTTTATTGAATGCACATAAATTTGCAAATCTCTCACCATTCTCGTTCCTTTCTCATAGTCCGTGTCGTTTCATGATATCTTCGTACTCGGTATTATCCTTTCCAACTTTTGCGTTTAGATTTTTCATCAGGACCCAGATCGTTCCTTTTCTACGATCGACTTCCGTCTCCCATAAAACTGATCCTTATTGTCCTCATTGGTAAGTGCATAGCACTGGGTAATACTCATTATGAGTTCGATGTTGGATAAAGTAGGAGTAATTTCTAAGAGGACCAGTGGAGTCAAACCAAAACATGGTATCAGTCCATGAAAACATTGACTAAGTGTAGACGACCTGGTCGATATTCTAGTAGTAGCAACTACTACCAGTGGTTGGAGATGTTAAGTAACGTGCATCCGAAATTGTCATATTGGCTCAAACATATTCACAATTCATCTTTTTCTAGATCCTCAGTTCAATTATTTTTTCATACATACTTTTTATTCTGCCCTACTGAGTCATATTCACTGTCGTTGTTACTAGTTTTCAGTTTCTAAAATTCATGCTCCCCAACCACTGGACCACTGCTCCAACACCGTAGATATATCTTGTGGATATATTTCCAACATCTTATTTGTTAATTGGAAATCCGATGCATGTACTTCAGCGTATAATTGAAATCATTTACGTAGTATAGTTTGTAAACTCGTTTCTAAGGTACATTTTTTATGTGTGAGTAATACTTCTGAACTACCTAAATCAAGTTATACTAAGTGAGGTTCAAACCTACGGCTTATCAGTTTAAACCAAGTTCACTGATCATTATTCTACCATTCCACACACTTTCATGTTAATTCAGCCATCTTTCAACTTATGCTAGGGCCTAGAACGTAAAAAATTCCTATTGGCCCATTGTTCTAGAAATAACCTTGCCAAGCACTGGGTAAGGAAAACGGGCACTTGAATCGGTTTCAGGTTTATTCGTTTAAAATCAGTAAGTCTCCATGTTAAAATGTGCGTCTACTTAAGATGTCTTTTTATTCATTAGCTAAAATAACAGTAATGTGTATAGCCAAGTTTTGATTTCTTCGTGTCACCAGTTTTTCAGGGTTGTGAATTCTCATTTTTTCAATTTCTGATGGAAGTGTGTTATATAATTAACAATTTTTAGATATTCTTGAATTTAAACCTGCGATAACTCGGAAGTTGAGACGACGAGCTATAGGTGGAGTTGGTAGTGGTGTTAGCGTCGGCTCGGGAGGCGGAAATGATGTTTCCGCTTCAAATCCAGCTAATTTCATGTACTGGGGTGATTTACTTCTTTGTGGTTCACATTGGCCAATGAATTCGAACTTGAGTACAAAGTTACAGAAATCCATTTCAAATGATTCATACAATTCTATTGTTACTGCAAATAGCAATGATGAAAATACCGATCCAGTCCAATCGTCGTCAAATTTAGAGAATGAACCTAAAGAGAATGCTTTAAATGATATATCAGGAATTCCATGTAGTAATACAATGTCATCAGTATTCCAGTCGACCTCATTATCATCATCATTATCAATAACGTCGGCATTAACCACAACAGCGACGATGCCTACTACAACTTCCATAACTAGCACCACGTTCAATTCGACTTCTAAGTCAAATATATTTGGTACTTTAGGTTTAAATCCCTTTGATGGAAGTTTATTATCACATCTATTAGCTTCCATGAATAACAACACATCATTGACAAATTTATATACGAATTCTTCATATTGTTTATCAAACACACCAGACAACATAAATAATGTCGGTGACTTTTTAACTAATGGAGGTGTAGCAGTGAATTCGTCGTGTAATTCTACTGCAGTAGCTGTGGCAGCTGTTGCAGCTGGTCTTATTATGCCGTCAAATGGTACTGGAACGATTGGTTTATCAAATAACATCAGACTGTCTCCAGTTACTGCACTTGGTTGTGGTCTAGTACCACTTCTAAATAATAATAATAATCATAATCACTCTTCATCAACGTCTATTCGTAAAAGACGTCATCAGAATACTACGCCTAGTGCACAACTAAATCTTTTATTACCGGAACATGAAATTTATGCAGATTTAACAATTATTCATAGGTAAGATATTATGATAACATTTCACAGATATATATAGAATTATAGTAATATAACCCATTTTGATTATTACAAACTTAGAAAAAAAGTATTTTTGAAGTGTTAAGTCAAAATTTCGCATCGCTTGACGATTCTTTTCGTCGCTGAATATATAGGTCTTATGGCTGAATGGTATTTGCTCAGAGGCTTTTATTTGTTTTTATTTAAACACATAAATATAGGTGCAAGAAGGCACCAAATAGATATGCGCCACATAAATCATCCGATTTGTGTGGGGGCTAGAATAATACCCGGGTGCCCAAACCGAAGCAGGTGGTTTTCTTAGGGGCCACCCCCACCTCAGAGGACCAGATTAATAATGTAAATTTTCGAATCATTTGAAATGTAAGTCATGAACATTCACTAAAAATGTAGATTACTTATGTGATAAAGTTAGATGCTCATGTATAAGCTGTTCGCACAAAGTTAATATGATAAGTTGTTATAGAAGATTAAAGGGCATTAGTTTCTAGGTCACTGACTCTGTACAGTCAAATAAGACCCGATTTTTAGACATCTTATCAGTTGTGTTTTATTTATTGCATGTCACTTCATAAAAGTGACAAGGTAAATATACGAACCTCCTAGATGGTACTCTTTAAGTTTCGCTGCAATTAGATTATCAATACATTATGAACATTATATGGTATAATTAATCAATTAACCAATTAATCCATACTCACGATGTATAAAACTACATTACGTCAATGACTACTATGAAACATCATGTCCTTACTTTGGATATTGCCTTGTGTCTCGGTGATCATTTTCTTAAGAAAATGACCTGCTTAGATTTCGATACTTGCGCAATATCCTAACCCTCACATATATTATATTGTTCGACACAGTCTACTTCCAGTTAGACAAGATTTCGTTTGGATTAAACAAAGAACAAAACAGCTTGAATATGTCTATCATTTGGAGAGACATGGGTTTTTGTTAACCCATCAAGTAGGTTTTCATGAAAATTTGAAGATTTCGCATTGATTTTGACAGTATCAGTCTACTCACTAGTAACAGAAAAACTTATCTACCAAGTTGTTTTCGGCGTTTACCAAAATGATTTTAGCTTGGGGCAATTTCATATCAATAAAGTTTAATACGGTCATAATATAATTTTTTCTTTTTCCATGTTTACCTTCTTTTATCATCTTCATCTTTATTTTCCCGTAAATTATTCTACAACAGAGCTTGTTCAAAAGTGTCAAATATTCCCAATGGAACATCAATGAGTAGCGGTAGTCGTAAGCATTCTTCACATACTACAAGTAACAATTCCAATTATACTCCTTATAATAATTCGAATACATCTCAATTGTGCTGTACTAGTCCATTAAGTCCTTCCTTAGGTAAATGTTATGAAGATAATTGTGGCTCAAATAGACTGACAAAAGATTCCAACACAACAACTATGAATACACCGTTATTTTCATCTCATTCAATTGGTTCGCCTAATTCATTCAATAGTGCAAGTGTTGGTGATTTGCCAGTAACACGTACAGGTGCACGTACAACTGGAACGGGCCACATTGGGACTAGTTCATCCATGAATAACCAGTCCAATGCATCGTTTTCTGTGTGGATAGACGATGGACGACTTTACTGCGGGCATAAATGGTATGATATTTCGGTTCAGCGTCTTTCTTTGCAACAGTTAAACTGAGAACATAAAATTGTTTTTTCCTGAAGCAAATAGAGTGACTGTCAAGGGAATTGTTGGTATACTGGTTTTCGTAGGTGTAATATGTGTTGATCTCATATTTCAGACATGTAATTTATGATGAAATATTCTACTCGGGTTTACCGGAGAAAAGTTTCGTAATTTTACTTGACGACTAGATTTAGACAGACAACTATTACAAATAACGATCACTAAATAGTTGTTTCATATACGTGTTCTGATCACTGCCTACCCGAGAAATCGTTACAAATCTTACTCGGAACTTTTACGCCTTATGCTGAGTCATTTGATATTGTCGATTATGGAGTCAAATAAGAAGGTTGCGTTACACCACCATAAATGCTAATAATAATAATAATTTATTTATTCCAAGGTACAAACGAACAGGATATACGCTAGTTAGTTAGTTCACATGACGAATACACAACCCTTTGATATGAATGATTCACATACGAATAAAAGAAAGTCTTCGTATTCTTAAGAAGAGATACATAAATGCAATACAACGATTGTCTTTGTGCTGTAACAACAATGACCTTGAGAGCACGTAACAAACTAAACAAGACGTAAACAATCGAATAATATAAAATAACAAAGATCTGTAGAATATTGTCAATTGGATTTCTTTCAAATGCCAATTTATTCGTTAGAATTCCAATTTATTCATAAAAGGAAAAGAAACAGGATAATTTGAAGTCTCCTTGATGACCAAGTTTGAGAATTATCCGTGGTGTCCTAATGGAAGTTGTGACTATTGAAGTTTATCTGTATCAGAAATGTGACAGGTATCTTGAATGCTAGTAGATAATAGGTGTGTTAGACGATCCAGTTGAAGTCGATAGAACAAACCCTTTGATGACCACTTAATGGTGTGAAAGTGATGTTCTCACTATTAGGCCCTCTAAGTCCTATACTTGTCTACTCAGAAGACTGTTCAAGGAGATTGCTGTGAATATCCTTACTATAACGAAGCATCTGTTTAGTGGCGTTTAGTGTTCAGTGGTTTTCCTTCTAAAATCAGTCAGTTCATAATGTAGGATATCTTTAAAGTGAATACATCTTCACAAACTTCGATGATTTAGGCGATCTGAAAATATGAGTGCAAAACCCTTCTCACACTAGATGCCTTGTTGGGTTCGGTATGTACTTTACAAATCCTTCTCTCTGTAATGGAATTCAGTACGGCAAGATGAGATGTACTGTTTCTGTAACCTTTTCTTCTCTCAGCAAATGGAATAATTAGAATATATTATTTTTCATGAGAAACATTTTACTGCAATGATGACCTTGTATTGTCGTCATCAAAATGTCTTCACCTTTAGATTTTGTTACTTATTAATTATCGTCTTACTACTCTTCAACCGACTTGTGTAGTATTGTACAACTTTAAAAAACAAATGTTTCAAACAGTATTAGTTCAATTGCTTCGCATCACCAAGCGAGTTGTACTACCAAGTCAAATTAATAATTTTTGATGAATTCATTGTTTTCGTTATGTTAGTGTAAAATGTGACCACTCGAATTCATATATATATATATATATATATATATATATATATATATATATATATATATATATATATATATATATATATAAATATATGTATATATACCATGTCTTATTTTGTTTTTCCTTAAAACTAACTGATCAGTTCATTGACCAGTATCATTGCTTTTACCTTTGTAATGAATATACTGATATTTTGCTTTCTATTTGAAAATCAAGCTATCAGATTGGTGCTTCAGTTATCTTAGAAGGTCGTGATGGTTCAAGTCATCGATGCACTGGTACAATAGCATCTATTGGTGTTCAAGACATAGCTATACGAAGATGTTCAGATCATGGAATATGTCGTGTAACTGTACAACAATTAAAACAAGGACGATATGCAATATGGCCAAGTAAATCTGAATAGAATAACTTCACCTTCCCACAAATCATTCTTGGTTTTATTGTAATCAGAAAAAACTTAACTATCGAGGGAACTAATCCTATTGTAAAGTGTAGATTGTTATTAATACTGCACGTCTACAAGTTCCCTATGTGAATATACATATATACTCGTACATGTACATTTCGATCATCGTCTTTATCATTTGTCAATTCCATCCTTATTGATTATTCCATGTCAACACCCTGTCAATCCTATCATGTTATCATTTCAGAATATAACTTAATCTCTTCTTTTTTGTTAAATTTCAATTTCGCACCACTTAGTGGATATCTGACTCAATGATAAAGTCAAGTTTGAACTTTACTTTGCTCACAAATGCCCTGGTACGGTCGAGAGTGCGGAGAGTCATCTCTCCCTCTCGAAATGCTTTCACATGGCCACGTGCATACAACCACTGTCAGGGAAGTCCTACTCACTGCGTTCTCACACTAGGGATGTTGTTTACGAAATTGAGAAGACAAAAAGCGAATGATGTTGTTCCACTACCTTGTGGACCAGACCTTTAGGTGGAAGACTCTGGGTGTGGCCCTCTACGTAAACCACCTGGTTTGGCTTGGGCACCCGTGCAGTATCCCAGTCCACATACAAGTCAACTGATTGTGTTGCACGTATGTATTTTGTGCCTCCTTGTACCAATGTTTATGTGTTTCAGTTTGGACAAGCAGACAGATGAAACCAATAGATCTCCACACATTTAAAGTATACCTTCAAGTTAATGTTCTATTGTGACATAGCTTATGATTGTTTTACTTCCTGAATGATCAGAAATATTTCATAATTAATGTAGGATCTACTCACTCCAGCGTGTTTGATGAATAACAGAACGAAGATGGCAAGCTAAAAACAAGAGGAGTCGTCAGTCAATCAGTAGCAAATATCGCGTATGATAATATGGGCTAAAAAATTACAGAGACTTTCAGATGTTTGTTAACACTATAATTTCTTAACCGAAGGAAGAGTCTTACTTATACCTGTTATCCCTCGTGGAGGAACATAGGCTGCCCACTAGCATTCCTTATCCAACTCTGTCCTGATCAATCCTTACCAGTTGTTTCCAGAATCTATCCACACTTTTGATGTCTGCTTCCGATTCCGAAGTAGTGTGTTTTTTGACCTTCCTCTTTTCCGTTTCCCTTCAGGAATCCAAGTTAGGGCTTGTTTCGTGATGCAGTTTGATGATTTCGGTAAAGTATTTCCTATTAACTTCTATCGTATTTTCTTAAATTCGTCTTTAGATGGAAGCTGGTTTGTCCTCTCCCATAGTAGGCTGTTGCTGATGGTATCCGACCAACGGAGATTGAGTATCTTGTGTACACAATTGTGTATAAATACTTGTTCCTTTTTGATGATGGTTGTAGTAGCTCTTCAACTTTCAGCTCCGTACAATAGAACTGTCTTGACGTTGGTATTGAAGATTCCGACAGTTGTTTCGAGTTCCATATGTTATTCAATTGCAGGAATGAGGCCCTTGCTTTACCAATCAGCTAAAATCTGAGACGATCCCAACAACAATTACTATACGAATCTATACCTGATTGACTGGATAGTATTCAAATAACTCATCGTGTCATTTTATTTGTCAAGTGAACAATTATCTTTCATAATTCTGACCTGTAAATTATTCCCATTCTCCTATTCTTCTCTAACCCCTTGATTATTATGCAACCTCATTTGATATTTGAATTCTTGTATCACTTAATGTGATGTCATCTTTTCTATCTTGTCGAAAACATAGTTTATAGTTGAAAAAAATCCAAGATCGAATGAAAGTACTTGGGTAATTCAATAATTGAGACCATGAGTCAATTGAAGCTAGACCACCATGGAAAACCTGGAAGCATTGGACGGCCGTTTCGTCCTCTCCAGTGTGCATTCATGATCCCGCCTTGCGAGATTCGAGCCCAGGACCTATCGATCTCGCACGCGAACACTTAACCTCAGAACCATTGGGTTTGTTGGCATCTAATAGTGTTAAAGTTTAACTTCAACTAATCCACGAAATTGAGTGGCACATCCATCAATGTTTTCAGTGAGTTACCATTCTGATACAAATAAATAACCTTTTAGATTCTCTAAAGTAACACACATGTATTCGATGCCTTGCGTATAGTTTACGGATATTGATATTTTACAGTTTATCGACATTTTTCACTATCTTTCAAATAACATTATGAGTAGTAATTTGTTATTATTGTTGTTGTTGTTGAGTGAAAGGAATTACCTTTTGACTGACTGTCTGATATTATTGAATGGAAGATGATATTTATCTGTCATTAAGAAAATATATAAGAATCAACAGATCTCTGCAAGTATCTCCAGATTACATACATAGATCTAACTATGTAACTTATATTATTGATAATACTCAATTTAATACAAGTCTGAATGATGTAAGATTATTGACAATGTATAGTCGACCAAATTATTACGCTACTGCCAATTTACAAGTAGTCAATACGTGAATATTTGAAAAAACAAGACTCATACAGTGATTAGCTACTATTCATTACTTATCTATTAGTCTTCCTTCCATAAAAATCATCATCACGATAATCTGTAATAAAAGTTATGTAACAACTTGTTCAAGAAAAATTGTTCAAGATTAGGTCAGTACTAGATCAATACATTATGTAGCAGTGCTTACTAAAGAAGACTCATTTTCTTGAGACGTTATTGTACATATTCATTGAGAATTCATATCCATAGTTCTATCTTATTTAGGTTGGATTACACGGAAAGGATCATTCCAACCTTCTATTTCGGCGATGAGTGGATAAAGCTATTTCGCATCCGAACTCAGTCAGTCAGTCAGTCAGCTACAACGTAGAACCAGGCACATATATGCATCGGTTCAAGTTGCCATACCTTATTAGCACAACAAGATGAACACCGGATTCATGGAAGTAGTTGATTCAGTGGTGGTAATATATAAAAGAAAGACTGTATATAAAAAAATGGCACAGGAAGAAAGAATTAGTTGGTAGAAAGAAAGATATTAAGCGATTTTAATCTCACGGTTTGAGGGAAGACTAACAGTTTATACACCTGCGCGATTGTGATGGATTCTGAGCCATGTCATACAGCGACTCCAACTATTGGTTACGATAGTCGTGCGGTTCTCAACCAATCAATTTGCATCTATCAACACGACTGAGACTAGATGTTAATGACTTCAAGCACCGATGCCACGTTTTGGTTTGGCCGCTCCTAATTTTCTTCCAACCATCGCCAACACTAGTCGGCACGGCGCGTCTTGGTAATCGGTGTTCAGGCGTACGTAACATGTGACCAAAACATCTCATTTGATTAACATTCACAAGTTCATCAAATGATTCAACATCTTTGCCAAATACCCTGCATCTAACCTCACTATTACTTACTTAATTTTTGAGATTATGAACCGCTTGATGTTGGTCCATCATTGAAAGCCTGGGATTATGTTTACAATCTACAAGCTCAATCTCTCAGCGAAAACTCCTTGCAACTAAACTGTAAAATTTGGCTGACATGTGACTACAAGATGTTACAGACGTTCAGGTCTGAGTTCTTGACTGGTGGGACTTGAAAGTACTGAGAGGAATATGATTTTCCACAAGGCCTTTGTTATTCAGAATTTAATAAATTTCTTCATCTCTGTTATAGATATCGTGTGTAAACTATTCTTGTAACGTGTCATTTATAAATAGCGACTTTATTCAGGTTATATTCAACGAATCGATATTGTTAACACGAATAGAGAGGTAGTTATTTAGGAATTAAAGAATCTAACCTACGTTACTGGATGACATACATTATGTTGTTCGGGTTATAACAGTAGGTGAGCCGTCTATCAGTCTTATATTTAAACCTCAATGTTGCATGAAACCCGAATTCCTGCAAACTTCTAAGCTATAATGTGAGGACAGTCCACGGGTGAACTCGAGGATGCTCTAAGAAGCTCAGAAAGAGCCGATGATATTCCATCCAATGGTCTTTTACAAGAATATTACAGAATCTCGACGTGCGACTACCCTATTGAACAATTGCTAATAGCCCCCTGTATGCGGATTAGAGGAGTAAAATCTATAAACACCTGATAGTTTTCTATCATAATTGACACTATTCGGAATAGCATGTAAAAAATAACCTTCCGAGATTTCATGAATTTCCCCATTTAACTATCATAGTGTTCGTCTTCATTCTTAAGTAAACTTTCATTTAAATGTTTTATAAAACAAAGTAATTAGTAAACAAATTGGGTTAATTGTTGTGATATAACTCTGCTCAGCTTTTAAGAGTCATTTAATGCACTGCACATCGGAGTTTTTCACACTTTAAGTGGAATTCGTGAAGATTATTGGATTGTCAATGGATACTCTACCGTCCGGAGTGTTCTAAAACGATGCCACTTATGAAGAAGACTCTATTCTATGCCATGTTCGCAATAATGTCACTGTTGCCAGAATACACAGTAGAGGCTCATTCGACACCTCTTAGCCAAGTAGGTGTGGATTACCTCGGACCATCCTATACCGATTGAGTGAGAGCCGTTGAGAAAAGTTGCGGCTGTTTACTCCTTGCTTGTCCATTAGAGCTGTTCACATTGAAACGGCTTAATCTTTAAACACAGATTCATGGTTATGAGTATTATCCGCGTTTATTGCCAGAAGAGAACGCGCGAAGCGTATTTTTAACGATAACGTTCCGAATTCCTGAGGTTCGGATGCTAGTTTGAGACAGATTATATGCTGTTGGGATCAAAACAAAATAGAGGATCACCTCAAAGAATGAGGATGTGAATGGCGTTTCGATCCACCTAGGGTAAGTCATCGAGGCGGTGTGTGGGGGCGCATCATAAAATCAACTGGAAGAATTCTAAGAGCGTTCCTATTTCAAAACATGCTGACCGAGATCGAAAGGATATTAAATAAGGGACCACTAGTTCGAATGAGGGGTGACCTTGGCACCGTAGAGGCTTTTAC